GGGCGCTTCTTGGGCCGTGTTGGAGTTCTCCTGGGCCGTTTGGGGCGCTTCCTGGGAGCCTCGTAGGCCGTTTGGGGGGCGGTCTTGGGGGCCCGGTGGACGCCTCGCAGCGCCGTGCAGGCTGAAAAGGTGGATGCGCTAAACATGTACGTTCTCCACGGGAGTGTAGCGAGTTGGGCTTCTTGGGAAACCTCTTGGAGGCCTCTCGGGGTGTCTTGGCGCCTTCTTGGGCCGTTTGGGCATTTTGGAGCGACATTTCGGCGACTGTGGGCTCTCGTGGCGAGCCCAGGGAGCCCAGATCGCCCAGGGTGAGTTCGGTCCAGGGGTCAAACTGCCGGTTCCGAGTCCCTGGGGGGGATTCCGGGGGGGAAGAATCTCACACGCCTAGAGACCCACAAAGGGTCGGCGGACTAGGTTCGCGTCTGCGCATGAGCCTGGGGCCTCCTGGGGCCTCTTGAAACTTCCTGGGGCTTCCTGGTGCCTCCTGGAGCCTCTTGGGGCCTCCTGGGGCCACTTGGGGTTTCCTGTGGTTTCCTGAGGCCTCCTGGAGCCTCGTGAAGCCTCGTGTGGTTTCCTGGGGCCTCCAGGAGCCTCCTGGAGCCTCCTGGGGCTTCCTGGGGAGGATTCATGCCCCAGGAGAGGCCCGATCTATAGGAACAGAGGTAAAGCACTTCGGATTGGAGCCACAGGAGAGGGGCAATCTATAGGAACACACGTAAAACACGAGGACTCGTGTCCCAGGGCAGGCCCAATCTATAGGAACATACGTAAAACATCAAGGGGTGGATACACATGAGCAGGACAATCTATAGGAACATACGTAAAACACTTGGGATTGGAGCCAGTCATGGGGCCCTCTGAGGCCTCCTGTTCCTGGGGCCTCTTGGGGGCTCCTGGAGCCTTCAGGGGCCTCCCGTTGCCTCCTGTCGTTTCCTGTTGCCTCCTGTGACCTCCTGTGGCCTCCTGGTGCCCTGTGGTGTCTCCGGGGGCCTCCCGGAGCCTCCTGGGGCCTCCTGGTGCATCCTGTGGCATCCTGGGTCCTCCTATGGTATTGTTTCCTGTGGCCTCCTGATGCCTCCTGGGAGTGGCTCCTGGGTCCTCCTGGAGCCTGCTGGAGCCTGCTGTGGCATCCTGGGGTTACACATCGAGCTGGAGCCTGCTTGGTTACACATCCGTGGTACAGGTTCTGCTAGAGACAGCCTCGCAATCTGGCCCCCTGGGGTGCGGAAACCAGCGCCTCGCACGAGCCATCCTCCAGCTCTGTTCCGAACGCGCAGGATGTTGGGCATGCGAACAGGCAAACCGCTCGAGACATCCCCGCAATCTGTGCGCGAACGGAGGCCGTGAGATACCCCTGGCGGCCCATCTTAGGAGTGCGAATACCAGCAAACCGCCTGAGACATCCTCAGGATGTGCTCTGAGCGCAGACGAATCTGGCCACCCAAACAGGCAAACCACTCGAAACATCCTTGCAATCTAGCCCCCTCTGGTCATCAGCACCGTCATCACCATACTCATCATCGGCATCATCATTTTATGAGTGCATCAGCGTACTCAGAGTAGGATGGGGAAGAGAGGGAGGAGGTGAGGAGTGAGGAGGTTCGTGCGGTCGGAGTAATAGCAAGAACCCCAGTCTTTGGATACGAGGAACAAGAACCCCCTCCTTCGGATATGGGGAATAGCAAGACCCCATCCTTTGAACACGGGGAAAATATAACATGCAATAACCCAGCATATCGTAACATAACAGACCAGAGCATATCATCAGGGCGAGGAGGAGAAGGGAGGAGGGTGTGCGCGAGGAAGGTCCTCGCGGCCACCGTCGCAACAAGAGCCCCATCCTTTGCATATGGGGGACAACAACTGGTTGGCCATGTTCGAGCAAGTCGGTCAGCTTCTGTGACGAGAATATTGGGAGTGGTCCGGCCTTGGTCCGTCTTGCGGTTATGAAATGACGTCTGGGGGAAGGTGGACATCAGTGAGTTCGGCGGGTAGCAAGCGTACCCCTTTGGAAGTGGGTTTGTAGAGCAGTCGCACCAAGTCGACAAAACCTTGCAGATGCCAATATCAATAGACGTACCGTCTCCAGTCAAAAAGCACCTGCCCCGCTGTCTCAGTTTGTTGGCCGACTGTATCGGCCCTGCCTGTGCTGGTGGCCGTTGCTCTTGCCCTTGCCCTTCCTGACAGCTGGCATGGGCGCCCTCACCTGCACCTGCTTCGGCCCGGGTGGCCCCTTGGATGACGATGCTCTCTTCGAATAGGGGGCCACATGCGAACCCTACCCCACCCTCCCCCTCAGAAATCGTGGGGGGTAGGGGTATGCCCCCCTTCATGGAGGATGACGATTAATAAATGACCGGGGGTCGTGTTCACGCGGCGGCGCCTGGGATGACGATTAGAAAAAAACGGATGCGCGCGGGCTGGAAAACTATCTTTTTTAATCGTTCTCTTCCAGTCAGAAAATTGTGCAGAAATACCAGAAGACTATTTTTTGATCGTTCTCTCCCATTTTTTAATTAATCGTCGTCCCGCATTACCTTCTTCGGCCCGGGTGGCCCCTTGGATGACGATGCTCTCCTCGAGGTCCACGAGCTGGCCCCCGAAGCAGACGGGCTCTCCGGCGGCGGCCCACCCGCCTCGGAGCTCCTCCTCGAAGCCTCGAAGGCGGACCTCGGAGCTCTTGCTGGACGTGGATCGCCCACGGCTTGCCGACGCTCGCCCTGGGGAGCTGGACCGCCCCCTCGAGGACCCGCTGCTGGCCTTGCCCCTGCCTAGGGGGCCACACGCGAACCCTACCCCTACCCCCCACGATTTCTGGGGGGGAGGCTGGGGCTCGCTTCGTCTGGGAGCTCCCGAGCGAAGTGAACCCCACCCTCCCCCTCAGAAATCGTGGGGGGTAGGGTCAGGGTTCGCATGTGGCCCCCTGGGCTGTTGCCCAGGATGTGCTTGCGAAGGTGGTCGATGCCGCTCTGGTCCGGCACCTCCTCCTTTTCGCCAGCCTTGGGAACGTAGTTCTTGATGTTGAGTTTCTTCATGATGTTCTTGCCCTCGTCGTTCGCTTTGGGTGTCTGAAACAAGATGCCAACATGGACCTGTCTCAGCTACCTTCCTATCACCTATCACTTTTGCTGCGTGGGCCTGCTTGCTCCATCTCGAGCAATGCCAGGCTTTGTAAGCCTGCAGTGTCCTGCTGACGCCACTCCCCCTCCCCCCTCTCCACCGCCCCTCCCCCCTCCCCTCCCCTCCTCTCCCCTCCCTTCCCTCCCTCCCGCAGCCCCCCCCCCTTCCCTCCCCTTCCATTCCGCCCCCCACCCCCTCTGCCCTCCCCTCCCCCTCCCCTTCCCCCCTCCCTCCCTCCTCTTCCCCCTGTCCCCCCTCCTCCCGCTCCGCCCTCTCCCGCCCCTCTTTTTCCCTCTCTCCCCTCCCTCCCCGCCCTCCCCTTTCTCCCCTTCCTCCTCCCCGGCACCTCCCCGCCCCGACCCTTGCCCCACCCTTCCCCTCCCGCCCTCCCCCCCCCCTCCCCCCCCCCCATCCCTCCCCTCCCCCTCCCCGCCCCCCGCCCCTCCCCCCCTTCCCTCCCTCCCCCATATCCCTCCCATCCCGTCCCCGCCCCTCCCCCACCCTCCCCCTCCCAGCCTCCGACCCTCCCCAGGCTCGCCGCCGCTCCCGCCGCCCGCCCCCCGGGGCGGAGCCGGCCCCCCCCCGGGGGGCGAGAAGGAGGAGGAGGGAGGAGGAGGAGGAGGAGGAGGAGGAGGAGCAGGTGGAGGAGGAGGGAGGAGCAGGAGGAGGAAAGGAGAAGAAGGAGAGGAGTAGGAGGACAAGGAGGAGGAGGAGGAGGAGGAGGAGGAGGAGGAGGAGGAGGAGGAGGAGGAGGAGGAGGAGGAGGAGGGAGGGAGGACCGAGAGAGCGCGCCCACACGGCGCGCCGACGCCGCGCCCGGCAGACCGAGGGCGCCTCTCCCCCGCGAGCCGCGGGCTGTCCGGCCGCGCGGTGCGCCGGCGGCGCTCGGAGGGCGCGCGCGCCACGACGCCACGGCGCGCGCCTGCACGGCGGCTGCCGCACGGCGCCACTGCGACGGCGACGACTGCGCGACGCCACGGCCCCAGACCCAGACCCCCGACGTCATGATTTTTCATGACGTCGACCCCCCACCGGTCTAAACCAATTCCCTGGGACCGGTTTTTCGTCCTGAGTCGTTTTTTGACGGTCCCGAGGGCCGGTAAGGGCCCCCAGAGGCGGAAAATAGCGAGAAAACTCCTGTCGTGTTTTTTTCATGACTCGAGGAGGTCTGGGGAGGGACATCGGGCGTCGAGAAGAAGTCGGGACGGCGGGTTTTCCCAGTGTTCGGCTTCTCGGGGCCCTCGCCGGGCCTGCGGGGCTGTCGAAAAACAGGGCTCGGGCGGGGAAGTTGGTCGGAAGGGGACCTGGTCGGAAGGTCGGGGGCCCGGGTCACGAAACGATCGAGACGTTGGATGTCCGGGGATGGCCACGGGCCACCACCACCGCGCCGGCGACCACAACCACACGACGAACCGCGACGACCACTGGCATGACCACCGGCGCCAGCGACCACCGCCACGACTGCCATTGGGTCGGGCCTGCCTGCCTAGGGCCTAGGGGGATTTGGGGCGAATCTTTAAAGATATGCCAGAAATGCCCCCCAAAATGTTCAAGAAGGGTAAACAAAGAATCGCCCCCACATTATTTGAACAACTAGTTTTGAATATTCCTCCTGTAGAGGGACGGGGTCCGTACCCTTTTGGCTCAAGCCGTCTCGGCTCGAGGTGGCTTTCGCGGCCTGGGTCCCGCGGCCTGGCGGGCGCGCCCGCGGGCCTCCGGCGGCGGCTTGGACGGAGGGGTCTCGTCTCCCTCCCCTCTCGGCCGCCGCCCCCGGGCGATGTCGTCCCCTGCGGCGGCGGCGGCGCCGGGCTGCCGCCGCTCGCGCTGCCCGCGTGGCGGCGGCGCCGCGGCGCCCACGGCGCGGCGTCGTCGGATTCGTCGTGCGGCCGCCGCTCGCGCCCCCAGCGTGGCTTTGGCCGGCGCCGCGGTGCTGCCGCTCCGCCTGCCGCTGCCCCCGGCCACCACCACCCGCGCCGCCGGGGCCGCGCGCCGCTCGGCCGCGGCCTCTTGCTCCGCGTGGTCGGCCGCCTTCCCCGCCGAGGCCGCCGGCGCCGGCGGCCCGGAGCGCCGGCTGCCGCGCGCGGCCGCCTCTGACGCGGCTGCCGCCGTCGCGGCCCGCTGCTCGCCGCGCCGGCCGCCGCGTGGCCCGCGCGGCCGCCCTGGGCGAGCCGCTGCCGCGCCGCGGCCGCTGGCGCTGCGGCCGCCTGCTGCGGCCGCTCGCGCGGCGGCCGACGCCGCGGCCGCGGCGGCTGCAGCTCGGCCTCCTCCGGCGCCGCCGGCGTGGTGGCCGCTCCTGCTGCACCCTCCGCGGCGGCTGCGGCCGCCGCTTTGGCTGCCCCCGCCGCGGGGCTGGCGGCTGCCGCGGCGGCGGCGGCCGCCCCAGCACGGCCCCCGCGGCGCCGGGCCGCTGCCGGCGCCGGCGCCGTCGGCGCCGGCGGACCTGCTGGCGGCCCCGTGCGCCCCCGCCGCCGCCGCCCCTTCTCTGCTCGCCGCGTGGGCCGCCGGCGGCGGCCGCCGCGGCCTCCTCGCGTGGGCCGCCGGCGGCGGCCGCCGCTGCTGGTGCCACGGCCGCCCTGGCGCTGGCCCCAGCCTTGGCTGGGGCTGGGATGGCCGCCGTCTCCGCCGCCGCCGCTGCCACCGCTGCCGCTGCTGCTGCCGGCTCCTCGCCCGCGGCGGCGGCGGCGGCGGCGGAGGGCGCGATATGGCTGGCGCCACTGCGGCGGCGCGCGACCCGCCCCACGGCCCGCCCCGCGGCGAGCCCGACGGCCAGCCTTGCGGCCAGCCCGACTGCCTGCCCCACGACCTGCCCGGCTGCCAGCCCCACAGCCAGCCTGACGGTCAGCCCCACGGCCTGCCCGGCTGCCCGCCTCACGGCCCGCTTGGCGGCCAGCCCGTTGGCCCGCCCCGTGGCCAGCCCGACTGCCAGCCCCGCGGCCGGCCCCACGGCCAGCTCTACGGCCAGCCCGACTGCCGGCCCCACGGCCAGCCCCACGGCCGACCCGACTGCCAGCTCGAGATCCACGGCCCGCCCTACGGACGGGCAGCCCGACTGCCAGCCCCACGGCCGGTCCCACGGCCAGCCCGGCATGGCCAGCCCGACGGCCAGCCCCGCAGCCCAACGACCAGCCCTGCGGCCAGCCCCACGGCCAGCCCCACGGCCAACCCGACTGCCAGCCCCACAGCCAGCCCGACGGTCAGCCCCACGGCCAGTCCGACGGCCAGCCCGACTGCCAGCCCCACGGCCTGCCCGACGGCCAGCCCGACTGCCAGCCCTACGGGCAGTCCCGCGGCCAGCCTGACTGCCAGCCTTGGGAGCATTTTCCACGGCCAGCCCAGCCTGCCCCACGGCCAGCCCTTTGGCCTGCCCGACTGCCCGCCCCGCGGCCAGCCCCACGGCCAGCCCCACGGCCAGCCCGACTGCCAGCCCCACGGCCAGCCCGACGGCCAGCCCGACTGCCAGGCCCACGGTCAGCCCGACTGCCCGCCCCGCGGCCAGTCCGACGGCCACCCTAACTGCCAGCCCCGCAGCCAGCTTGGCGACCAGCCTCACGGCCAGCCTGGCGACCAGCCTCGCGGCCAGCCCGACTGCCAGCCCCACGGCTTGGGCGGCTGCCAGCTCCACGGCCCGCCCAATATGGCCAGCCCGACGGCCCGCCCCGTGGCCAGCCCGACTGCCAGCCCCGCGGCGGGCCGCGGCCAGCCCCACGGCCAGCCCTGCGGCCAGCCCTGCAGCCAGCCCGACTGCCAACCCGACTGCCGGCCCCACGGCCAGCCCGGACAGCCGCGCAGCCAGCCCGACGGCCAGCCCCGCGGCCGGCCCGACTGCCAGCCCCGCGGCCAGCCCCATGGCCAGACCCACGGCCAGCCCGACTGCCAGCCCCACGGCCAGCCCTACGGCCAGCCCAGCTGCCAGCCCCACGGCCAGCCTGACGGCCGTCCCACGACCAGCCCCGCGGCCAGCCCCACGGCGGTCAGCCTGACCTCCAGCCCCAGGGCCAGCCCCGCGGCCAGCCCGACCAGTCCGACGCCCTACCCAACACTCTACCTGAGGCGTTGCCTGACGCCGAGTCCCATGGCCAGCCCCACGGCCAGCCCGACGGCCAACCCGACGGCCAGCCCGACAGTGAAGCCACCCTCCAGACGGCACTGGGAAGTTCCACCGCGCCCACGCGTCAGCCCTCCTCTGACGACCGGGACAACGCAGCCATCATTAAACTGGTTTCGAGAAGCCCTTTCGCCCCTATTCGTCCTCCTTCCCCTGCCAGCGACTCGAGCGTTTCCCCTGAGACTGACTTTTCTCATCCCTCCCTGCCCATGATTCCTCGAGATGCGACGGGTGGTCGCCTACACAGGGAAGATTGCGAAATGGGATGGGTCGCT